GTCTCTGTAGCAGGTAAGGGATAACTATAAGCTTTTTAAACTAAGCACACATAGAGTTAAAAGGAATTGAGAGATGAACCCATATAACATATTTGGGATGGAAAGCTCAGAACAGTTGTAATAAGTATACAGAATTCAGATTTTATTTTATTTTTTTTTACATTTTATTTTAAGGAGAGAAGGCATAAAGTTTTTTTCCACAATAGTCATAAACATTAAGCTCTTTCCAAGTCTGAGAAGGTTTTATTCATAGTGGACATACTTGGAGGTAGTTTACATATTTATTCTCCATGCTTGTGATTTGATTTTCATCTTTGAAGCAGGACTTGCACTTTTAGAAAAAAAAAAAAATCTTGCTTCCCCCTCCATTGCTACTGTACAATAAAATACAACTATAGTGCTGTGGGATTTTTACATTTTACTGACAAAGCAAAGGTTGAATCATATACAAAACTGTTTTTGTTTGCTTCTTGAAGAACATATCACAGTCATCATATCAAATGATACCTAGGATTATAGTTGTCATTACAAGACCATTTTTGTTGTAGTATATAGGCAGAGAAGTGTGTTTAAACCACAGGCCTCAAGGGGAACTAGAACATGGTAGTTTGGTGGAACAGTATAAGGCCTTTAAAGTTTCAGCCTTCATCTTCTACAGTGGGCTACCAGTATGGAAAAGATATCAAAATATGGACTCAGTAATTCCAAAATTAAAAGAGTAAATTCCCAAATCTTGCAGCTCTCTTGGCATGGAATCCTAAGGCAGCTCAACCTGGTTACAGGGGCCCATTGAGCTGGCGTATTTTATTATCTTGAAAGTGCAACATTTGTATTATCCTTGCTGTTTCAATATCACTAAACCAAGCAATACTGGCTACCTTAGACAAGAGCTGTCCAACTGGCAGCCCTCAAAGGGTTAACACACAGCCCACAGGCTCCGACTAGGTCAGCCACTCCTCCCCCAGTTCCTTCTGCTCTAGCACCAGGATATTCAGGCTGTTCTTCTCTCATCTGGCTTCTACTTCCTGTCCTTGGTTTGGGGATTTGGGCAGCATAGCAGGAAGGGGCTGGAGCACCCATGCTCTTAGTGTGCCAGGGTAGGGGCCTGGGCTATTTGTGCTATGCACATTCAACAAAAGGGGCTGAGCTGCCCACACTGCAGCTGGATGGCATGCACAGCTAAGGGGTTGGGGAAGACAGCCCAGTTCCTGGGTGGGAAGGAAGTAGGGGAAGGCAACCTGTGTGATGAGGGAAAGGGGGGCTGCCTGCCCACCTGCAAGTGTGTCACTCAGCCCTTGGGTATGTGGCTTGTGCTGTGGGCCCCCAGCTGCCAGGAAGTTGGACTTCCTCTGCATTAGCCTCTTCTAAGCTTTTCCATATCGGAAGAAGTGTGACCAAGCTACAAAGTTACTTAAAATTGAGCTTTCCCAAAACCCAAAGAGATTTGGATCCAAGGCTCTAGTCTGAGCCCATTTAAACTGAAACAAGTTCTCTTTTTATTTTCTCCTTTCTGAAAACTGTATAATCTAAAGTAAAGCAAGCATCTTCTCCTAAAAGGAGCAAGGAAATACAGCCTAGTAAGTGAAAAGAAAAAGGAAAGATTGCCACAGTTTGGTTGTAGCATTTGTATTGAAGTCATCAAGTTATGTTTTATGTCACATCATGTTACCTCTTCCTGGGAAGAAGCATCTGGGGAGGTAGAGTAATAACAGGAAAGTTATGATATGGTACCACCATATCATACCACCATTCTAAAGCAATCCATCCTGAAGAAACAAGTCTAGAGCACAGGTAAAGAGGGACACCTACACTCTCACATAAGATTCTTTGCCTGCCAGCCTCCTGAAATGCCCATCTAATTCTGGAATATTAGGCAGCAAGCAGGGCAGGGGTGCACCATATAGACTAAATCAGAGATGCATATGAAGCTTATGGCAGATGCCAGCAAAGCATCTGATGAAGTTAGCCATTGCTTTCAAAACTTAGGCATCTCTGAATTATTCAGCCTAGGGGTGTCCAACTCATCTGGCCCTGTAAACTGATGAGTGCTGAGCTGGTCTGCAGACTGGATTAAGCCCACATACTGGCCCTACAGGCTTGACCCAGTGCACACAGCATGCAGGGTTGCTCCACAGACGGTGTGTGCTGTATGGGGAACCTGCACCAGCCCAGCCCTGTGCACTGGTCCCAGCATGTTGGACCAGACCCTGATCTAGCATACAGGGCCAGATCAGTGAAGGGCCATATGTAGCACATGCCCTGAATTGGCCCCGCTTGCTGCACACAGCCTTTGCTGGACTGGCCCCATGCATTGCATGCAGTATGCTGGTCAGTTTAAGACCCAAAGGCAGCACTGTAGACCAGATGATAGGGCTCCATGGGCTGGATCTGGCCTATGAGCCATATCATTGACACCTCAAAGTTAGTGTATAAGGTGCAACTCTGCCCTGCCTTCTGTCTGGCTTCAGACTAACACAGCTAGCTACCTCACTCTGAAGTATTAGTTTGGGTTGTCTATGGCCTCACTGAAATGGGGAGACATAAGACCTATATTTGGGATACATGTAAGAAATCTTTATAGAACAAGTTAGTTCTAACAGTAGGAGCCTCCACCCAAAACTAAGCTGGATACATGACCCATATAGCTGGAGGAGTTGCACTGGTATGTTTAGGAAAGATAAGTAGAAAACCCAAAGAATAAGAAAGGAAATGCAGCAGGGAAGCACCAGAAACAGTCAGAGAAGCACTGGAAGCAAGGCTGAAAGATAAAAGCTGAGAAAGAGCAATTTTGTGCCACATGCTAGCTAGCTAGGGATTTAGAGCCGGGAGAGAGAGAGAGAGAGAGAAAACCCGCAAACCCAATTTCTTCATGATCTTTGATTCTTGCTGAGTAGATGACAGCAGGATTTCATATAGTTTTAGAGATTAAAAATGATTGTATCCGAGAAGATACCTGGCTCCATCATCACTTTATCCTCTTAACTGAAATGTTCACATTTTGGCTAACAATTCAGGTGAAAGAAAAATAACACTAATGTAAGAAATCAAACTCCATTTCTAAGGAGAAAAACTGTGAGCTGGTGTTTTTGCGGAATCAAAATGGAACAAACAATAGCAGTGTCTGCAGAGATCAAAAAGGCCAAAAGGAATTTAAAAGACCTGGAGGCTTCACAATAGGCATTAAAGAAGCATCTGGATGGTTCTTAAAAAGGGCCAAGGGATGACCTGCCTGCAAAAAATAAGATCTCTCTTGGAGACAGACAAGTTGCATGCTTATAATTCAGTGTTGTGCAGTCATGTCCAAGTACTAGGGGCCACATTAATGCAGCACAACATCTGGGGTACTTAGTTCTGCTAAGGAGTTGGTACTTTGGTCTAATGAGAGCATCTTGCTATCATAAAACTTCTTTCAGTACAAAAGTGAGCTCAGGTTTCTATTTCTACCTGTACCACATAAATATACCTGCAGTGTCCAAACAGATTATGACTTGCCTGCCACACTCCTAGTCTGAAGACATAACACTAAGGTGACCAGGTACCCGTCTGCCCTGGATCCAAAGGCTTTCTATATAACAGGGAAAGCCAAGAGGGCTATGGCCAATTTGGAGCTCACCAAGAGAAGCGAGTTACTGGAAAAATTTACAGAACTGAAAAAAAAAAAAAAATAAGTAAATAAATAAATAAATAAAAATATCAGCTTCAGGACAAAAAAATAGAAGGGTCACAGACTACAGTGCAATTGGAATTGCGCCAAAAGACTTGGTTAAAACTAGACCTTTACAAATACAACCCTAATGCTGCTTTTAGCTCAGAGAGGCCTGGAGGGGAGAAGCTGGGTAGGTATAGCTCAGTCATGTAGAAACCATGCATAAAAATCTAGTTCACTGTTGCAGTCAAAAGAATGGCCAAGGTAAAAGGAGAGAGAGAGAACCAGGGATTTCTAGCAGCAAACATGAATAGCACATCTCATAAAGCACTATATTCCTTACAGCCCAAAAAAGAGACTATTGAGTTCTAGTGCAAGGATTTGATATGCAGCTTGGAGCCACCCATCAAGTTGAACTGGCCAGGACATGGCTGAGAGAGAGGAAAAAAAAGAACAAAGGAGGGAAAACTAATGATTTCCTCTGAATTGATAAAAGATCTGCATAACTCACCTGCCTGGCTTATATAGATGCCAGCGGGCAGGTCTACATGAGGTTTTTACTGCAGAGTTGACTAATTATCTCCATAGTAAATGTCTTGTGTCTACACGTGCAGGACTATTAGGCAGGAGTAAACTAAACAACTCCATGGTATGACAATACTTGTAAAAATACTATCCTGCTGCAGAGTTTTTTGTACTCCGCAGCACCTCATGTACAGATGCTGGAGGGAATGGCTGGAGCACAAGGGTGCTTCAGTGTGGGCATTGCCTGCCAGGTAGCCCTGTACTCAAGCACCCTTGTGCCCTAGTCAGCCCCTCTGCTGCACACTGAACTGTGGGGAGCTGCCCCAAGCTGGCAGGCTGACCCACCCTGGGTCCCCTGCCAGCCGCGGCTTCTCTGACCTGGCTCAATGGGCTGCAGTCCTGGGCACACGTGCAAATGGCACAACCAGGAGCAATATACTCAAGTGCAATAAGTATCAGAGTTTACTGAGTCACATTAATTAAATGTGTAGACATGCTCAGTGAGGACCTTCAAGGATAAATTAGCAAAAGAACAATTTATTTATAGATAATCAGTTGGACTTGGATGTCCACATCCAGATTAGCAAAAGGAGGCCAAGGATTCCAAGAGCATGTGATACTAGCCATGGGACTTGCACCTTTCCTTTAAGCCTTGAGCAAGGAAGTAGGAAGCCAACTTTAATGATGCAACTCTGTCTCTGTGTCTAATCTGTATGACTGAAAAAAGTGAATTCTAGTCAAATTCATGCTTTTGCAAACAATTGGAAAAGTGGTAAGTTTGATTTGTAAAACAAGGGGAATTGACAATAAAAAAAAAAAATTTGAGGGAAGCAGTTCTATGAAACACCAATACAGAGAAGAAAGAGGGGGGTGGAAAGACTGTTAAAAATGCAAGACTATTCAGAACAGAACATCATAAATGTCTAGTGAAACTGCATCACAGTTTGGGAAATACAGGACACACAGTTAAGGGGACAAGGTTTAGAGACACAAGGTGCAGCAACTGTTTTTGTTTAGGCAGTCAAACAGTAGTGGGAATTTGGCTAGTGAATGTGTAATACAAACCTGTGAAATTCACAAAAATGTTAGATGTTGGCTCACCAGCTAGTTTCAGTCAGATGGGGACCAGGTGAAATTCTCTGGCAGGGTCAGTGCTCAGCTGGTGGAGTTCAAGCTTGAACAAACTGTCCTTCTGCAGAGATAATGGGATGCTAAAGGGGTTCTATCCCAGAACTCTCCACTCATCCTCAGGACCAGGTTTTACTGGGAGAAAAAAAAA